TTGTGGGGAGGGAATTGCTGAAAGTCATTGCTTTTGATCATTAAGTACTTTTGGTTTTTTACAGCAAGACGTACCATGGATTAATGTGTTATTCTCCTCTCTGAGTCTGCCTGAGACCCGGGTTCTTTTTTGGGCTAAATTGACAACCTTTGATTTCTTACCCAATTTCAAATGCATATTGTTAGCATTCAGGCTATGAGTCCCAGAGAGTTGTTAAATGATTTACGAGAGTGCAGGAGCTCTGCAGTCTGTCCAGGGGAGGCAGAATCCTGGCTGGGGGCTGGGGAACATCTCGGGTTCCCAGCAGGTGGCTGATTTTCTCCAGGAAAAAATGTTCTGAGCTTTGAAAGGTAAAAAAAAACCTAAAGACAAATGCATTTAATTCAAGGGAAAAAATAATTGTGTTTATTCCAAGAAAGGTTGGTTGGTTTGTTTTTTCCTTTTAGTAAGAGTAATGGTGGTAAACACTCCCAAAGGCATGTGAACCCCCCCAGTACAGACTTATGAACCATCGTATCTTTTGTTTCCCTGCTACTAACCTTCTGGATCATCTGAAAACTTCAGCACACCAAACTCTTGCTATAAATAATTCATGTGTTCTTGATGGAGAGAAACAAAACTGGTTTTGTAGTTTCAGTTTATTCTAAACTGGACTTAAAGACTGAAGGAAAAAGTGCCCAAAGAACTCATTACTTTCCTCTATGAAAAAGCAAGAGTGGCAAAGACAAGAACTTGGCTTTGCTGAATGCTTAAATGATAATTTTAAGGACTATCGGTAGTAGATTGAACTGGAATTGATGATTGACCACAAAATTCAGTATGTGTGCTTTGAAGTTAGCTATTGGAAAAAGATCTGTGGTAGGCACAGGTTTTAATTTAAAATTATGGAGATATTTCTTAAATATATGCAGAATTCATGAATAAAATGTGAATTATTTTTCTGGTACAGTGATGTGCTTAGAAGACTGTAGCTGAAGGAATTAGTCATAAAGTTTTACCTTGTGGAGACTAAGGGATGCAGTGAAAAAGCTAGCTGATGACTTCAAGTCAGAATATAAAGTATTAACAAAGTAATAGGGCAGTTAATTCTGAAGGTGGGGCCCAATCCTGAGCATTGCTATTGTCAAATTCCCACATATAATTTTTCAAAATGAATATGCAAAATGCTCCCTCTGTTGATTGTTAATGCAGTTGAGATAGCTGTGTTGTGTGTTTATGTGATGTGGTGGGGTTTTTGTGGTGGCTTTTTTTTTTACCATTATAGTCTTGGAAAAAGCTTATACCACCTTTGAAAACCCTCATTATCCTGATGTCCTCTCCAAGGTATTCCTGCCACTAGAGAACCTGATGCTATTCTGGGATGAATAACAATGATTATCCAGGCAGTGAAAACTGAAAATAAAACAATAAATAAAGGCAATGTAGAAAAAAGGGGGTCAATGAGACTTGATAAGGACTCTCTAGCACAGGGTTTTTCACAGAAATGTGGTAGGATGGAGCCAGAAGCATTGGCTTAGACCCAAGAGTCACCTCTCTTCCATGTAATTTTTTTTTTCCTTTCTGTTTATGCCAAGGTAAGAGGTGAAGGTCTGTCGCTGTTTATGCCAGACCTGATGATGGCTGAATTTAGGCAACACGAAAAGAAGTGGTGTTGCTATTCTGGTCTGAGAGATTAGTTCTTCCTTCCTCCGTTTCCCAGGTGTGGGGCCTGGTTGCCCTCAGGGGTGGCTGCCAATGGCAGCAAGAACAAGGGCTGCCAACTTCTTTCTGGCCATCATCAGGGACAAGGTGACATACCATTCGATGGTCTTTTGGTCCATCTAAACCAGGAATTCGGGGGTGATAGGATAAGGCAGAGCTCCTGCCAGTGTCATTGCTTTTTTTTCTACACATCTCCCCTATGTATGTACCCAGTTATTTTGAGTATTGGATTTCCATAAGTGCACCTGGAAAACACTTTTTTAGGTGTCTCTGTGATTTCCTTTTCTTTTCCTAGTTCTGTATAGGCACAAAAATAGTAATGGTTCTCTTCATGAGTCACTTCAAGTACTAGACAGGTGAATGGGCCAAGTTTGAAAAGAAATCATAATTCTTTCTAATAGCAAAGATGGGATTTGGAGTCTGAGATTCGTTTTTACCATTATAGCCCTAATTAAAAAAATTTCATTTCTCAGTGTCATAGCATAATTTTACTCTTGCATGTAGAACATGTACATTTTTAACTAGTGACAGTAGTGTGGGGGGAGGATTACTGAGAAATCTGTTAGACTTTGGAAAATGTAATTTTCTTGCTGAGAAGTTATTGCGTACCAGACTTGAGAATTCACTTTGTGTAGAAAGCATTTTGCTCAAAGTCTGTCTCTGTGTGTTTGAAAACTGCTCGTTTAGCACAAGCAAATGAATTTTGAAGTCTCCCTTTCTTAGACCTTTCTGACAAAACCGATTTTTATCCAGAAGATAATTCAAAGCAAATTGTATTTGAAAATCATGATTTTGGAACCCTGTGCTTTGCTGTACATTAGTAGCCAAATAACGTACATTTTATTTTTAATAATAAAACTGATGAATAAGCAAGTGATAACTCTACCTACTGATTTTCTAACTCCATGCTCTGCTACAACATCATTCATGGAAGAAAATGCTATTGCAAATACATCTGTGAAATGCAAGAGAATGACCCTACTGACCATTTCAGAATTCAGTCCTCAGCAGTTATAAAATTAGACACTTTTAATTCAGAAATCCTATTTTGCGGTTAGGTTGTTTTTTGTTGGTTGTTTTATTTTTTCATGAGGCATCTCCCTGCCCATGTTCCTTCAGCCACTCCAACTGGCATGTGCCAGGAATGTCATGCTCATTCATCTCTATGGCAAGAGTGGTGGTAACATCACCTTCTCCAAAACCTCCAAGAGCTCAGACCTGGGAAGAAGTAAGACTGAGGGGGTGTCCTGCTGCCTGACCACATCCTCATGTTTGGGCATGAACTTTCTGCTCATCCTGCTAAAGTAATATTTTGGCATCACCAGGAGTGCCCAAGAGTCATGGAGCCGAAGAGAGAATTTCTGGAGACCCAGAAATTCCCACTGGCTTTTATGGGGGTGTCCTGCACAGCAAAGCTCAAGTGCCACAAAGCTGCCTAGTGTCTCCTTCACTGTGGAAAGGTGGTTTGGAAAAGTGTTTAATTTTGTTCACAGCTTTAAAGTAAAAGCTGTGTTTTGGAAAAAAAAAAAAAAAAATACTCTGAAGTATTTTGAAGCTTTCTGGAGACTTTTTTTTAGACCAGCTAAGTTGGAAAAATAAATGGTCCAGTGACTACTTGCTAATTCATCTGCATGTGCAGCTGCAAAATTATTTTCTGTGCACATAGTGCAAAACTTCTTCCTAAATATGAGGTTTAGAGACCCTTTGGGAGTAATTAACTATAATGCAGAAGCAAATCTGGGTTCATTGTACGCACTGCTCATTTAAGAAATGTTTTTGTGCACAAAGCCCATTAGTAAGTTTCCAAAACCTCCATGAATGTTAAACATTTTATTATAGGACTCTGAGCACTGCTTATTTTACATAAAATGTAATGTAATTCCATGAATTACATTTAGCTTTTGATCCCTGGATAGCAAATTGCTGTGTCACATGTGTGCCACAGTGTATTCAAGGGCTAAAATCTGGCTTTTCTGTAGTTATTTATTTAACAGTGATAGAACAGCGGTTTTCTTGTGGACTACACAAAAAGTTGAGGATATGCTCAACGTAAACTGCAAGCTATTGATTTTATTCTACCTAGTGGTCATCTCGCATACAGTGTGGGGTTGGCTTTTTTGTTGTTCTACTAACTGCTTTCCTTCTGTGCTTTTGGTCCTATGCGGTACGTGGTTGTTAGGATCCTGACTCTGATGCAATGGAAATGGAAAGCAAATCTGATGTTCTCTTCAGTTGTACAGGATTGGTGGTCAATATGATTGAGTTCCTGAGGATGTGATTTAGCAAGGATTGGGAACACGTGCCCCAAGCATCAGTGGGTGGAGGCATGTGCCTGAAGTTAAGAGAATGTTTAATTTGCTGAATTAGGTCAATGCATGAGGCTAATGGACTCTTTCAGAGGCAGAATATGATGCTTTCTGGCCTGTAGTACCGGAGCAGTCAGGGGACATATTCTGACTTGCCCTCACTGTTAAGTCATTTGTGAAGAAGCATAAATCATGTCAGATACTCTGAGGAAATCTGTCCTGCTAGCTATGTGTGTGATGAAGGTGCTGATACTGGCAGCAGGTCCTGGGCAGCAGGCTGGTAGGACTGGGCTTACTGGTGATCAGCACAGAACCACAGCGGCACAAAAACGGATGAAGAAGAGCAGAAATAACTGCCTGGCTTTTATGAAAGTTTGTCCTTTCTCTCAACTCTGTTATCTGTTTGCTTGGAGAGATTGACAGTGTAGCAATCATATAATGTTACTTAATATATATTGTGTTTGTTCACCACTTAATTCCCAATAAAAAACCCAAACTATAGTCTTCACTATTATAGGAGAGTTAATCATTAACATCTGAGGGTTTTTGCAACACCTGTGCTTTATCTCAGAATATACAAAATATATCCAAACACTTCCATAAAGTGGTGGTTTATGCTGTGCTTTGGCTGTGCTATCTGGATTGGTTGGAATTCTGTGCAATTACTATTTTACACAGCAGCAGAGTATCTGTGAAGTGGCTATCAACTGAAACATATTTTGCTCTTCAGACTTGCTTCTGCAGGTTTCACAAAACATTTAATTAGTGATAATCAGCTTTTAACCAGCCAGAGCACACTGATGTGATTCTCTCCCTCTCTCCCCCATCATTGTAGGCATAGTCTGTACCCATAAGATAAATTACTTGCAGTCTGGAGAACATCCTAGCCAGCAGGAAGGGAGAGAATAAGGATGTCGTTTGCATTGGGATAAAGAAGGTGTTGTGTATACTGTGATTCCAGTGAAGAATATACTTTTTCCTTTTTTTTTTCAGAATGGTGGACCTGGAAACCAGCTGGAGAATGCAAAGTCTCCTTTCCCTCAAGGTTGCTGACCAGGGGTCATCTTCCACCACAGTCAAGGAAAGTAGAAGAGCTCCACGCTAAGTTCTGCAAGGTTTGTTTCACTATGGAAGATCAAATGATTTTCTGGCTCAGGTTTTGTGAAGTTCGGCATCTGCCTTGGACCTGCAATTTGGAAAAGGGATCATCTCTGAGGCACGGTTAAAAGACAGAAAAACCAGTCCCAGACGATGAGCACTTTAAGTAGCACTGGAATATTACTCAGCTTAACGACAGTGTCTGTCACACTGGATTTTAGTTTGCATGGTGGTCTGATGGCTTGGTCCTTAAGCACCAATTTGACTCTGAATCAGAGTTTGCCTACATCTGATCCTCTTAATGCCTCTGAGAAGGGTGAAGTCTCTCGGATGTCTGTGAGGGAGAAGAACTGGCCAGCTCTCCTGATCTTGGTTGTCATCCTGCTGACCATTGGGGGGAACATATTGGTAATTATGGCTGTGTCCTTGGAGAAGAAGTTGCAGAATGCCACAAACTTCTTCCTGATGTCCTTAGCAGTGGCAGACATGCTGGTGGGTATCCTGGTCATGCCCGTGTCACTCATTACAGTCCTCTACGGTAAGTGGCTTCCCTCCTTGTTTGACTATATGCTTTAGCAGGGAATCCCTTGAGGCTGCAGCAATTGGCTTTACCCAATTTTTCATGCATTGGTAGCTTGGGGAGTATCATTGTGGACTTGGCCACAATGTGGGTCTGTGCTGAGGTTCACCCTCTGCTGGGTGAGGACAGTGCTCTGCTGGGAGCAGAGCTTGTTTCCATGCTGCTGGGAATGACTCGTGAATGGTGTCAGCATTGGATTTTTTTTTTTATTGCCAAGGCCACCCAGAGAAACTACAGCAGTGAGTCGGCTTTTTACCTTTTGGTTGGACTGCCCCACGGTTAGCTAGGACACAAGAGCTTAGGGAATAGCTGAGGAGTGTGTTTGTGCTTGACCCAGCTCTAAGCCAGATCAGAATCAGCCCTCAAGCTCCCACTGATAGCAGTGGGATTTGAGCAGTAATGTGGTTAAGAAGGAAGGTTTGTACTAGTAGACTTGGCATTCAAATAAAAGCCTTCACTCTTGGCATTTATACCTGAGCTTGCCTTGTGCCTTTCAGGGGGTCATTTTGCTTTTCTGTGCCTCAGTTTATCTATCTCTAACCTGAGAAACTCCCCTCTGGTTTAAAAGACACTCTGAGATGTCTGGGTGTAAGCATTTATTGCTCCCCAACCATGTTAGGGTTGGTGTGTTTGTGCTGAAGTGGGACATTGCTCCTGCACTCAAGTGCAGAACCACTGTTACAACTTTAAGGGCTAAAATATCAAACATATCCAATTTTCTCATCTGTCCGAAACTCTGAATCCTATTTTTTTTCAGTGTGATGCTAGGACTCTCCATCCCTGGATGTTACAAAGGGGTGTTGCACTCGCACTCACCTCTGTATCTCAGTCATCATGTTTGTATACTCATATATCAGTGTGTGTCTGTGTGTGTGCGTGTGTTTAATAGGTAGCAATCATTTTTGAAGTCTGTTTTCAGATTTTCTTTGAAAACTATTTTAATATTGATATTTCTTGGAAACAAATAATGCTGTTTACTTACAGATTTGATTAGAAATCGGTTAACTGTCCTATAAAGTAAAATGTAGGGATATTTATACGACTTCTTCCCTTGCCTAAATTATTAAGTCAGACAGAGATTCATTTCTAAAACACATTGATCAAGCGTACATAATTCCAAAGCTTTTATAACTTGTCTCCAGTGAGCTAAATCAATATCTGATTTAGGTACAGACCTAGCTGTTCAGATCTTATGCATAATGCTTTTTATTTTGGGCTGTCAGAATAGTTCCATCTCTAAATCTTCTGTGTATTACAACATGTGTATTTCATTTTTAGCATTTTACTCCAGTTCCCTGGAGCTTGAAAGGGAGCATATAAATACTGAAGGATTTGATTGACCTGCACTTGCATAAATTTTGGGTTACCCAGTGGCTCTAAAAAGGTGAATTTATGGAAGGTGATCTTCCTACATACATACTTTCCGAGTCTTTAGAAACTAATGGAAATGGATTTTCTGTTCTGCCTGGAAAATGATTACTTAAGGTCGTTTAAAGGTGTAAACCATGCTGCATATTTAGAATCAAGTAAATATCATTGATCTGAAGAGGAATTGTAATTATTCCGTTCTTCTATCAGAATACCAGTATTGGTTGTTGATGGCCCGAACACTTCTCCACAGGCAAACGGCACTAAATAGATAACTTTTTTTTTTTTTTTTCCTTTGGCAAAAGTTATAACTTCAGAAAAGGCATGAAAAATTTGTGGAAATACTGTGAGAAATGAGAACAGCTGCTGTTTATTTTAGGGGAGCCAGGAGGCGACCAGAACCGTACTGGGTGCTGGCACTGCTCCCTTGGGAGCAAAGGCCTTTGGCCTTTGAGAGGAGGAGGAGAAGCTCCATGTGGGGAAAATGGAGCCACAGAGGAACTTGTGGACCGCTGTGAAATCACTTTTCTATATTATTTAAGCTACTGATTGTGGAAGTAAGCAGCCAGGGCTGTGCTGCTCCAGCAGCAGGAGGAGAAGGCTGCCAGAAAGTAGAGAAAGTAAATCTGCTCTCCCAAGTGACTATTTGCTAAATTATCCTGAAAATAAACACTTGGTTTGATACCCAGAAGCTAAAGAGCATGGACTGACTGGGCCAAGGGAAAGACTGAGGTTTTGTCAAGGGTATTGCTCCTCTTTAAATCCACCATAACATGTGGATGCCCTTTTCTGGGCATCTAGAAATGTCATTTAGGGTATAAGACTAATAAGGCACGCCAACAACCTCAGCATTTGATGGTTCATATAAATAAAAAAAGCATGCAAGAGCACAGAGGAAAAGCAGGTTAAACCTGTCACTCATCACTACATACAATGTGGGCCAAATACAGCTGTGTCTTCCTTGGCTTCACATGTGCTGGAATTATCAAGCTTTTCCAGAGTCCTGCTCCTATTTCTGTCTTTGTCAGGGAAGGGGAGGCAGGTATCTTGTATATTATACTCCGCTTGGTGGACTGGTTTTTACAGCAGTGTGAGACAGCAGCTGGAAAGGCTCTTGGCAAAGCTGCAACACTAACAAATACTGTGGAATCAACAGCCTCCAGAGACCCATCACTTATTCTTGAGTCTGTTTTATCTGGTGTCATAAGTAGCATTTCCGCACCATAGCACACACTGGTGTTGAGGACAAAATCTGGCCTCTTGTATAACACGGGGTTTCTTGGCTTAGTTTCCTTTGAGCACTAGTTTTTGGACAAATGGTTCTTGCAGCAGCCTGCAAGCACTCTGGATGCCACAGTGGCCAGTGGGACAATGGACTTCATCTTGCTTTCTCAGATCTAGAGGTCAGGAAGTCCAAAATATACAAATGCTTTAGTAGGTTTATACGCTGTTTGACATGGTAGCACACAGCCAGTATCAGTGATTAAGGGGGAAAATAATCACACATCAGCAGGATTCCTCTGAGAGTAACTGCGGGTCATGGCCCTGACCGATCGGGGAGAGCGTTACTGCTTGGAGACGTAATTGTGAATGTTCAGTCATTTTTACTCTGAATATTTTACCCTGTGTGTTCTAGATAGCCAGCATACTACAACACTGGGCTGTTTCAAAAGCTGCCATATGCTGTATGGAGAAATGTATGCAGAACACTTCTCCCAGTTTTGTAGAAGTTCCTTTTAATTTATGTAGTCAGAAAGGAACATTAAAAAATACATATAATAAATAGAAGAGTGAGGAAGTTGCTTTTAAGTTTCCACATCAGCGCTCTCAGTCCAGTGATAAATTCCAGTTTGCAGAGTAGGTTCATTTCCTCACTTTTCAGCTAATGAGGTAGAGGAAGCAGATTTCGCTTCAAGCATAACCAGAAAATTGAATAGATACCCTCCAGGAAGACTTCTGGTTGTCAGTGGTTTTCTTTTCTTAATTAAAAGAAGGAAAAAATCAAGTTGTCAATTAATTCAAGAATCTTATTACAAAGGAAGGGATGGCAGGCTGCATCATGCTGGATTTTTCAGCAATTAGTCAGCACTCTGATATATTTATCAATTAGTCTTTCTTAAATGTCTTGGACGAATCCATGAGTTGCATTTGACAACTTAGAATATTTTTCCATGGCATACAGTTCCTAAAGAACTAAACAAATTAGTATGCTAACTAATAAGCATGTATTGGGGAGAGTAAATGAGAAATTAACACCATGTTTAATCGCAATGGAGAAACTTCTGATTAATTAAAAATATTGGTGTGATAGGGCATCAGGAATTCCGCATGTAATGGAGCTTCTGACAACACATGGAGATTGTCTCCTCACCTCGGAGCATTTTAGGGACAAGCAGGGGTGGGTTTGCATCATGTCTCGCGTTTATGGGCAAGAAAGAGAGGGCTGCTCTTTGTCTGCTGGGACTGGTGAAGGTGCGCAAGGGAACCTCATCAGCTGGCCTGAGTGGAAACTACAGAAGGCATGAAACTTGATTTGTTCTAATGAAACGGGTTCACAGGTGCTGACAAGTTGCCAGAGTGTGGCCAGCAAGGGGCCAGCACATGCATCTGCTGCTCCAGGCGCCCGGGCTTCTCTCTTCTCTTTGCATTTCAAAAAACACTGTAATGCTGGCAGCCTGGAGCAACATGCAGGAAGGCTGGTGCTAGATTCAGCATCCATTAGCCCCAACTCCTGGAGCAGCTTTACATCCAGGTTATTGTTGTTGTTGACAATTATCATCATTATTACGTGGTGACAGAAGCGTGCTGAGCACTTGTGGCAGACTTTGCTGTTTATTCCCCCCGCAGAGGGAAGGGGCGAGCAAAGAGCTGCCAGTCAAGCAGCCTGTTCTGCAGTCTCATTTCACCTGACCCTGTTTTGCCTTGCTAGGGTGGCACTTGCTATCAGCAGTGAACATCTTGCAGAGAGACTTGATCAGGGGAGACAAGGACAAGGTGTTGCTGAATGAGTTCCTGGGCACAGTCGATACCTGGAAGGACAGACGGAGGGTGCCTGGGGTGTCTGTAATGCCAATCTCCTCAGCGGTGCCAGGGCATGCTGCGTACCTTGATGATGCTGGGCATTTTCTGAAGTTGCAGCAAGGAGCAATATGCTCCTTCAACAGCTGGGGCCATCTGCTCTGTCTTTATTGGGTTTATTTTTTAATTTTTTTTAATTTAATTTTTTCCCCTGCTGATTTCTAATGACTCTCGAGGTACAGGTTAGTGTTACTGCTGCACACCCGCACCAGGCACCTGCTCCAAAATGCTGTGTGGGAAGAATACAGGGAGTTAAATACAGTTATTGTTTTGGCCCTTTATTCTCAAAAAAAGAAGAAAAAAATGAAATAAGTAGTAATGTTTCTTATACTGGAGTTTCCTTAACTCTTTTAGTGTATTCATGGTTGTGAGTTAAATGACTGCAGTTGTGTATATGTATAAGTGACTGTGTCAGTCCACCTGGATTAATTAACAGTTTTCCCCTTCTGACAAAATCCTGGCTTAGTTTTTAGCTGGTTACTACATAATTTAGTCATTGGCTTATGACTGAC